CATCTGAGACCATCCTCGATATGCTGGCCCCCCCAGTGTTGGTTGCCCCTTTTTCCGCCCCATGCCAGTTGGCAGAGCCAGATCTTGACTGCTTTCCGGAAGGACAGAGTTGGGGCCTGCCTCCCTTCTGGGAGGAGAGTATTCCATAGGGTGGGGGCCATGGCAGAGAAGGCTCTCTTTCTGGACCCCGCCAGTCAACATTCTTTCATTGACGGGGTCCGCAGCATACCCTCTTTGCCTGACTGGGTGGGACGGGTAGATATAATGGGGGTGAGACGGTCCCTCAGGTAACCCATATACACCAGGTCAGGGTTTTCATCCAGGATTAAATCTTGGATCATAGATGTTTTGCCAGCAATTGACCTAGGTTTGGACAACAGGACTTTTAGGTAAGAGGGAATATCATTCCGTCACTTTGACTTTTCTGACTAGACTGCAAATTGCCATTTCCCCCTTGCAACTGCTAAGTGGCATCATAACTCCCTCTGCTCTTTATTACTTCAGTGCTTGCTCCCTGACCATTTCTTCATTTTCAGTCACCCAATATTTTCCTGGCACATCTCTTAACATCAGGCCGTAGCGGTTCAGATTCCCGTCTCCAGTCTCCCTCTAGTATCCACATCAATAAAAATAAAAGTGGGATGCCCTTGACCCAGAGGGTTTTCTAACAGGTAGCCACTAAGGGGTAAATCCCTTTAGAGTCATACCTTCGGCAGTCATGCTTGGGGTGGGCACCTCATTTATTCAGGGCTGTGTTAGACAAGGCCCAGGAAGCTGATGCAAAACTGAGTGGGCAGTGTCTGATGAGAACGCAGAGTGGGTGGTTTAAGGGAGCTGTTTTCCATAGCCAGCCAGCCAGCTAGTTAAAACATACTTTCTGCCTCTCTCACTGTCTACCTGGGACAAGCAGTGGTCTCAGCCTCCACTCACAGGGAAGTGATGATGATGACAGGGAGTCCCTCTATTCTGAAAGGCTAAATGTTCTTTTCTCTTTGCAGGACTTGCTAGCATACTTGGGCTGGGTGTTGCAGCTCCAAATTCAGCTTTCACTCAGATGGTGACAACATTTGGCTTGGCTGGGATAGTTGGATACCATACCGTATGGGGTGTGACTCCTGCACTTCACTCACCACTCATGTCGGTGACTAATGCCATCTCAGGTACAGCTATGAGTTTGTTTATTTATTTTATTCAATTTGGTACTGCCTGATTGAAGCGACTCTTGGCAGCTCACAATATGCTAAATAGAATAAAATCAAACATGCAACAAAAACAAGAACTAAAGAAGGAAGAGGAAGAGAAGGAGAAGGAGAAGAAGAAGAAGAAGAAGTAGCAGCAGCAGCAGCAGCAGCAGCAGCTGGCAAACCTGGCAACAACTCAAACATCCCACAACTTCCAATAGCCAGCAGGGTGCTCCAGCCAGCCTAGCCCAAAGCTTGGGATAACAGCCAGGTCTTTATGGCCCTCCAGAATGCCAACAGAGTGGGAGCCACACGGATCCCAGGGGGAACCTTATTCTAGAGGACAGGCACTGCGACAGAGAAGGTGTGCTTCCTGGATCCTGATTGATTGAAGGAGACTGGAGTGCACCAACCCTGTCAGCTCAAATCAGCTGGGCAGATAGTGTGGGAAATAGACAGTCTCTCAAATAATCGGGCCCTATGCCATGTAGGCCTTTACAGGCCATAAACAGCACCTTGAATCGCCTCTGAAAACAAGCTGGCAACCAGTGTGGCTCAGGGAGCAGAAGTCTCACGTGGGTATATCAAGGCATAACTGGCTGTGCTGTATTCTGGACCAGTTGAAGTTTTCGAGTGATCTTCCAGGGCAGCTCCATGTACAATGCATTGCAACAGGGTAGGAGATGAGTGACTGAAGGACCTCCCAATCCAGGAACAGGTGCAATTGGTGTACCAGATGTTCAAAGGAAACATTTACACAGCTTCATTAATATTTCTGTTTTTAACTGTGATTGAGGGGCAGTTTTATACATTAAAAATTAAAATGTGTGAATGGAATCAGTGTGTATTTGAATTATATGTATTAGTTATAATTCTCTGAGGGCACAGTTGGTGGCATTTCATACTTCCTGTTAAAGAATGTACTGTATTCTCAAGCCCAAAGTTTGGCTTTCCTTATCTATGTTTGCCATTAGTATGAATGCTGTGATGTCTTAAAAACTAACATAGACGATATAAGTTATTACAAACAGTATTCTCCAACCTGGAGCATCCAGATGTTGGCCTTCAACTTCCATGTTCATTCTAGCATGACCACTACTCATATTGTCACAGATACTGGAATTGAAGTCCACCACACCTGGAAGACAACAAGATGGAAAATAATAGTCTAGACCTACTTTATCTTATCTATGATTTGCTCTTGCAGTCAACCAGTGATGAACAAAACCTATTGATACTGTTCCTAAGTATATTTAGATGTATTGCAGAATTTTCAAAGCCTAGCTCCTTGAAAGGCACAGTCTAACTCTCCCAAAGTTAATTTTTGCACTATCTAAGGCAAAGGTTAGAATATCACATGAGATGCAGTCTATATAGACTGAAGCTTTGTATCAGTCTCTATTTGGGCCAAAAGATGCATTGTCATATTCATTAATAAGCTTCTAATTCTGCATTCCGCCCATGGTTGCACAGGCATGTTTAAAGTTGTAGGACTACATTAAGTTCCAATGTTTAATTGGCCAAGATATTGCCAAAACATCATGGCAGCTACTTTTCTGGTGCTCAGCCCTTTGAGGAGGCCTGGTCTGGAAACATGCACCACAGGAATTAATAGCACTCTACTTTATTGATATAGGGTATAATACTGTAACAGAATCTTGAAAGTCTAACAATATTTCCCCTTCTCTCCCTCTTAAAGGCAGGACAGTTTTAAGTTCTTTCTCATTCTGTCTGGCTTTCCTAGAATGAGCTCATTTTTTGTTAATAGTCTTTGCATATGTTGTCCAAGGTCCTCTCTGTATTCTTCTATAGCAATACAGTATATATTTTCATAACAAACAATGCATTGGGTAGATGTTTGCATCCAATATATTCTTTATTATGAAAACTTTTGCTGAATAGCTGCAGGCATAAGATATTTTTGAAATAAAGGTGTAGTAGAGAAAAGGCTGTTGCATGTTGCTAACCCATGAAAAGTTCTGAAAATACAGAATTAAGTCTCTAGAATGTATAGCAAATAACCATATAGCAAATAACTACATGCAATAAAATAATTTTTGATCTAGGCATTCTTTGTCCAGTTACATTGAATTTTATATAGTTTTTATAAGGGATAGAATTAAAGCAATCAAGGCTAAATTTAGTAATGCTTTGTTTTTTATTTTTTTTCTTTTGATCAGTTGAGGCAGCAGTAGACCCACGAGAACCATGCCTTCCCAAAGTACAAGAGCTAATTTTGTAACAGGAATGGGAAGCAAAGGAGAGAGAGTCCAAATCAACAGAAAGAAGGATTGAGGAAGTGAGAGAACTTATTTTGGCGACATTAAAAGACTTCTCATTGTAACAATACAATGATGGGTCCACCTATGTAATTAGAGACCTAAAATGCGCAGTGTTGGGGAAATTTCAAACGTGCTGGTACTGCTTAGCAGTGATCATCAGAAATGCATCCTGCAACCAGAAGCATTACCCTTTTGCTACAAGGATTTCAGCAATGTTGATGTTTCATGCTTTTCTTTTTCCATAGGACTGACTGCTGTTGGCGGATTAGCACTGATGGGTGGGGGATACTACCCTGGAACTCTGCCTCAGAGCCTTGCTGTTCTTGCTGCCTTTATTTCCTCCGTCAACATTGCAGGTACCAAGCAGGTTCTAGCTTTCCCACTTCCTGTCTTCAGGACACCTGCGTTTTCAAAAGTGGTGCTGATAGAATAGCTGGAGAGATGCAGTTCTGTGGAGTCCTTGGGATTCTTTGAGCTTGGTTGTTTCCTTGCAAACATTTCATTACCCAGCTAGGTAACATCTTCAGTGAGCACTGAAGATGTTACCTAGCTGGGTAATGAAACATTTGCAAAGAAACAACCAGGCTCAGAGAACCCCAAGGACTCCACAGTTCAACCCTGAGCTACACATATTCGCTTCTATAGGTACAGTTTTCTTGGTGCTCAGGGAGTTTGAGAGAACCCAGCAAACAAAGTGAGTTTGACGCTTTGGGGCAAGAGCAGCAAAATTCAGCAAATATCTTAAGCAGAATGCCTTTCCATTCTAGACCTGACCTGGCTTATTTGTCTGTTTTTGTACAATTTCTGGCCAGTGCCACAAGATTTTCCAGTAATCCTCAGCTAAAGGTTTCTCGGGGCCTGAGTGGCTCCATTGTTTTCATATAGCCGGCAGTATGCCTCAAATATGGCCCATGCCCCAATAATAGTAATTGTTCTGAATTGTTCCTTGCTTTTCTTGCCTGCATGAAAATGTTGCACAGCCACATGATGGTCCTTCCTAGGGAGGGTGACAGTTTCCTATTGAACTGAACTTGTGGCTTCAGTATAACCATCCCCCCATTTTAAAGCACTTCTTAGTTTTTCAGAATCTAATTATTATTTTTTAATGATTTTTTTGTGGCATAGGTGGTTTCCTGGTCACTCAGAGAATGCTGGATATGTTCAAGCGCCCTACTGACCCTCCTGAATACAACTATTTATATTTGTTGCCTACTGCTGTGTTCGTAGGAGGTTATGGAGCAGCCTTCCAAAGCGGGTATAACATTGAACAGGTACAAAGGTTGCTCAGGGACCCATAGAACCATTTCATTTTGTATAAGAATAAGTCTACAGTCTTGTGAACATGTTACAAATGTCATCTGATGCTGATTTGCTAAAGTGTAGTCCATCTTACTCTTGCCTGATGTCTTTCTATGCTGGCTAGGATGAAAAGAGAGTCTAGCATGTGTAGATGAAAAATACCCTTTATAATACCTCCTATGGATTGGAGGGTGATGATTTTTTTTTTGTGTTTCGTGTTTTGATGTGTGTTTTAAGTAAAACACTATTTAGTGTTTTACTTAAGACCATCTGTTGTTTTCTTACTGAGTTGAAATTGGAACTGGCAGCTTCAATAGTTACACCTTTAGCAGCCGTGTCACAATGCCATAGCTAGAGAAATGTAACTTCTTGGTATAATCTTGGCAGGAAGAAAGAAGAAAGAGATCTTAAGAATATCTTCATTTTCAAAAACCTCACTTCATTTCCAGTGTTAGTGCAAGCCTTTACACTGGGACGATAGTAACCTGAGTTAACCAAATTGGCAGGTGGTGGCCTCAAATGTTGTTCTACTCCTTGCAGCAAATTCCACAGTCATGCTTCAGGAGTCTGCTGCTACTACAGTTATGCTTTAATATCAGCAACTATCTTCAAAAAAGGCTTTTAGGTTAAAAGGAAATCTTGGTTAACTTAACCATGGTTTGTTGGTTTAGAGGGGATTTGGCTTCAAGGAGAAATTGTGCAGAAGGAAGTGCACATTTTTCAGTGTATTTCTTTATCCCCTAATCAAATTAGCATCTGCACTATCCCAATTACAAAATCCATTGAGCAGAGCACAACCTTTTTCAGTTGCATTGGATGACAAAGCCTGATCTTCTAGTGAAGGCAAAAATACACTGCACAGATTTTTTAAAAAGTTTTGATCACAAATGAGCGTGTTTCTTTTCCTTTGTGGCCACCCTTCATGCCGAATTTGTTATGTTGAGAATGGGTTTGATTGCATCCAGAGGTCTTCTATACAAGTGATATAATCAGTTCTGTCTTTTCTTGGTGTTTGACGATATTGGAACAGTGTTTTGAACAGGAAGAACAGACTTCCTTTGTGCATTTTGCTAGCACCACTCCATTGCAAACTGCCAGATTTGCTCAAAATCTCAACTGGACAGAAATATATTTGAAGAGAAAGTAGTATGGGCAGTATATGCTATGAGGATTTTGAAACCAGATTGAGTAGTGCTTTGTACCTCACTCAAATCAGAAATTTGAAGTGCTTGCTAAAGAATCTATCTATATATTTGTTTTCATCTTTTAAAGATGATGTACCTGGGTTCAGGATTGTGCTGTGTTGGTGCTCTAGCTGGCCTTTCCACCCAAGGAACAGCTCGACTTGGCAATGCTTTGGGTATGATAGGTGTTGCTGGAGGCTTGGCAGCTACCCTTGGAGGTCTAAAACCATCACTTGAGCTTCTGGCCCAGATGTCGGGTGCGATGGCCCTTGGTGGCACCATAGGTAAGTGCAGAGCAAAAGGATCGTGTGATTTGGAAGACTTACATAATTCTGTTGCCTAACAGCAGTGGCATTTGCAGTACATGATAGGAAAGGATTTCTACTTGGAAAAAGTTATAGGACTGTTAGAATTTGATCTAAGCCTGCTTCTTAGTTTCTTGTGTATAGACACAGATTCCTGAGAATATATTTCTAATGAAATATAATTAAAGCACAAAATGCCAATCACAGAGATCACAAGTCATGCTGATGTTGCAGAAGCAGTTGTTCCTATAGTGTGTACTCTCATCTGAATGATTAAGCAATGTTATGCCCTTTCACGGTTAACATGCAACTGTTTTTGTTCCTGCAGGTCTGACAATTGCTAAACGTATCCAGATTTCAGATTTACCTCAGCTAGTGGCTGCTTTCCACAGCTTGGTTGGGTTGGCTGCTGTTCTCACTTGTATAGCAGAGTACATGATTGAATTTCCCCATTTTGCAACTGATCCAGCTGCAAACCTCACAAAGATTGTGGCTTATCTTGGCACATATATAGGAGGTGTAACCTTCAGTGGCTCTCTTGTTGCTTATGGAAAACTACAGGGTAAATTCCCCTTTTTCTTGCATAGTGTGGCCTGTTTTCTTTATGAGTGGCTGTGACATGCGTTCAGTATCCATTTTCTTTGGTTTAAATTGCACTGAGATGCTAAACCCCATCTTTCACAACTTGGTGGCTCTAGAGATATTAGATTTCAATTACTGTAATTCTCTGCCGACATCAGGGTGTGTATGAAGATCATTAAATTGGAAGAACTGTAATGGGTCCATATATGGGCTTTACCGTGTCATAAATTCAGGGATGAATTCTGTTGCTCCTTCACATGCATCAAAATATACTCCAGATAGAAAACTAGTATGTTAGAGAGAACCATGCCTTGCTTAATAATTGACATGGTGGAAGTAGATGGTGGGTAGAGCCCAGACATAGATTTACCCACTCAGTGAGAATTACGCTCTTACATCTAAGAAACATCTGTAAGGTATAATTGAACAGAAATACTTGGGAAGGTTTTTTTCTCATGCATTTGTGATAATAACTGCAAAATTCAAAGTATTAATGAAAGTAATATTTATGGTACCCTAAGTCCTAGCACTTGTTTTAATTAAAAGACTTTAGATTTCCCTATAAGGGCAGTCTAAACATGTAGGCTCTTTTCAGTCTCACTTTCTCAGTCCACAATAAAATGGGGCTGAAATGGAAGAGAGCATACCTTAAGCTCCTGGAGGAAGCTCTAGGATATAAATCTGGTAAATAAATAAAGGTTTGTCATAAGTTCAGGAGCTTTGGTTGACCCTCTTAGCAACTTAGCATTCTTTTCATAAGGCATACTTCACATCAGTGAAATCATGGAATGATAAATAGTAAAAAAACAATGTTTAGTCAAGTATTTGATCCCTGTGGACAACAGCCTATAGTGAATCATGGTCAAACAGAGGACGTAGTTTTGCTAATATGACAAAGGGAAAAAAAGAGACCTGATATGGGATTTGTTCTTCTGACTTTTTTGTTGTTGTGTCTGATTTCTTTTCAGACCAGTTCCAGAAACTGAATTAAATTATTTTTATATTTGTAGGTATCCTGAATTCTGCCCCACTCCTCTTACCAGGACGACACTTGTTGAACGCTGGTTTGTTAACAGCAAGCATAGGTGGAATGGTTCCATACATGATTGATCCAAGTTACACAACAGGGTTGACTTGCTTAGGATCTGTGTCTGCCCTGTCTGCTGTAATGGTGAGCGTGAATTTATAATAAATTATAAATAATGAGTGAGATATTCCAAATTGTCACTGGGTGTGTTAAATAACCCGATCAGTTCTTTCCTCTGAGTATGGAGAATCCTAAAGAGTTTTTAATGAAAAGGAAACATATGTAAGAAGCAGGGTGATACATCTTTAATGGAGAATTTTTTAAAGACTTTTGTGTCTGGATGCATCTGAAAACATTTCAGAGAATGACAGCAAAAACAACAGTATGGAAAACAAAGCTTATGTAACAGGGATTAGATAGAAAGAGCATGATAGTCATCTTTAAAGGGCTTTTTTTTTTTTTTAAGGACAAGACTAGAATTCATGGGCTGGATATATTTCAATCAATTATTAAGAAAAACTTTGTCCTGATAAGAGCACAACAACCATGGAAACAATTACCTAAGAACATGATAATTCAAAGCTTTATATTAAAGCTGGGAACTTATTTATTGGGGATGTTCCAATTCCAGATGCCTCTCTGGAGATTTACATCCAAAAATTCTCTTCAACTCTGACCTTATGACTTAAGCAGCCTTCTCTACCTTTGAGCCCTCCGGTTTGATTAAAATTCCCAGAATTCCTAGCTATATTCCAAGTTGGCTAGGAACTCCTGGAATTATAACCCAGCACATCCCTTTTGAGGTAAGCTGGCTTCAGGGATATGCAGAGTTTATGCAATTAAACAAGTTCTTGGTAAAGAGAGAAAGTATCTGAATAAAGCTTGGTGGAATTCTTTTAGGCTCTCCTCACGGGCCTATTAAAAGCCCAGTTACGAATATTATGAAAAGTATATCCAGAGATAGATAATCATTAAATGTTGTTTTATTTTGATGCCCCATTGGGTATATCTAAAAGATTCTGCTGGATTTTTGTTTTAAAGCAAGAGTATGTCTGTAAGCTATGGATTGTATTCAGAAATGTTTTGAGCAAATGATTCCACCTGCTTGACAGCATTAATTTTTCAGTTCTGGCTTTGTTTCCTTTCCACAGGGAGTTACTCTGACAGCAGCCATTGGGGGGGCTGACATGCCTGTTGTTATTACTGTCTTGAACAGCTATTCTGGCTGGGCACTCTGTGCTGAAGGATTCCTGCTCAACAACAATTTATTAACGGTTGTGGGTGCCCTGATTGGTTCCTCTGGTGCCATCCTGTCTTATATAATGTGTGTGGTAAGGAGATTTTGGAAATGTCCCTTCCAACCCAATCTATTTAATTACTCTTCCTCTGCCTGTGGGAAAAGCTTTTAATTGTATATTTTGTTCCCTTTCTGCGCGTTTTCATCCTGACCCCTTTTATCTTTTTCTCCTTTCTTCTCTCTCCTCATTTTTATATGTATGTCTTTTGATGGTATTGGTACATTCATGAATGTCAGAAGCCAAGGTAGAGGTAGGACACACATTATGTTCTTGCCATGTGGCCACTTGATGTTCCGTACTAACAATAACGTATAAATAAAATTGCACCGGTAATTTAAAAAGATTTGAAAAGGGAGAGAAGGGAAATAGGAAGATTGGTGGGGGACAGAAACTTGAGAATAGATACTTTAAAAATACTAAGTAGAATGAAAATCCTCCAGGCAGTTTTTAAAGGTTGAGAAGGACCTTCAAAGACAGGTATTTGGAGGGAGGGAATTCTTTTGTGAAAGAAAGGTTGCTTTACAGAAGGCCCTTTGAAATGTTGGAATCAATGGATTGGGTGTCATAGCAGGAATAGCAACTTGTCTGCTTCAGAAGTTCTTTAAATTTGTAAGCTATTGAATATTATGTATGCTGAAATCAGACTTGTATTTATTTATTCATTCAATTTATTTATTTACAGTATTACTGCGCTGCCCATTCCCATAATAGCTCAGGATAACTTACCGAAATGTAATGAAAAACAAATGTTAATACATTATCAGAGCAATTAAACAATATGTTTTAAAACAATTAAAATAGTTAAATAATTAAAATGGTGAACAGGTTTGAATAAACAAGTATCTCTTGTGTTCCCTCTTCAGCCATAATTGGGAAGGGGTTTGCTTCAGTTCAACTCAACTCAATAGAGGAAAGTACCAAAGAGTTTAACTTTAGGAGCCTGGTTTTAAATTAACTTGTTTTAACTCAGCATACTGTAATTTAGCATTAATGCTATTGCTACTACCATATATTGCTTTGGCTGCACGTTTGCTGTGCTATGGATAGTGGGGAGCAAATAGCGATAAGTATATTTTATTTGTTTTTAAGAGTGTTTACATGTCACAATTAATCAGAAGAGCTGGTTAACATTTTTACTTCTGCTATCAGCTGCTCCTTCACAAGACGTGAAGTTTTCAATCCTACCTTCCATTCCTTGGTTACAGTTAAATGTATTATTCAAATTCAGGACACAGAATATTTTAAGCCAAATCTTACCAAAATGTAAATGAACATAAAACAAACAATGGTTTAAGTAGGTGGAAAAAATTCTCTTTTGGAGACAGAACATTCTAGGGAACTCCAGAATGTTCCATTCTTCCTGGGAATCTCACTGTTCCACTTGATCACTGAGATCTATTTAGCTCCCTTGGAAGCCTCTTTTATGTCAGAAAACCAAGATCATATTAAAATAGCCTCTTGAAAAAGCCTATAAAGTAACTTATACAAAAAAGTTCTAGTCTGTTGATGCTAGTATTTTGTGTTTTCCACATAGAGGAAAATCTCTACTGAACAGAGCAACCTCACATCAATCCATGTGGAAATAGGCTACTAAGCTTATGTGCAAGCTGGAAAATACATTGGTTTCTAGTAGATGGACTATCAGAGGAGGGATGGAGACTCTGACCTTCCCCAACCATCAACACAAAATTCCATCTGTTACTTGCAACATTTTATTGTCATCATCAAACAAGTCATTAAATCATTTGCATCTGAGGCCTGGGTAAAGAAAGCCCCTTTCCCGGACCCTTCTTATTGCCTTGCCTAGAAGCCTTTGAAAGGGTGGGTGGGGCATTTAGTCCAGGCCAGCAGTAGGTTCCAGGCCAACTCCTGGGGGTGTTCATCCTGAAGGGGGACACCAAATGAGTCTACCTTGAAGGGCTGACAGATTGGTCCACCCATAGCGGCCAGTAAATCTGACTGAGTTGTAGGCAAGGATGTATTCTTCAACCTGGCTGGCCACCTTGCCATCTGCTCAATGTATGGAATGCTGAAGTCTCCTAGGAGCTTAAGACAGTAGCTTCCCCTACTCCATATTGACGCCAAAAGCACACCATGGCTTAAGAAACAATTGCAAGTGATAAAGCACAAGGGTAGATGCTTAAGTGACTGTGGTGCAAGACCTGGAGTGAATATGGGTGCTAAAGCAGGAGTAGCAATCAGAAAGAAGCTGTACTAGATCTCCTCCTTGATGGCATCTGCAGAAAAACTACTCAAGGGAGTTTTTTTGGGTTGTCTGGCAGATGGCCAACTCTTTAGTGGCCCTGGCTAGTGCCCAGTTTGATTTGACCTCCATTTTGAGCAATTGGTGCAGTGAATCAGATTACTTGGATTCAAGCAATACCATAGCAACACTCTAGTATTGCTATATTTCCTTAGGAGATAGAACTGATTCAAATGTCACTAGACAGCATACGTGTCCACCACGCTGTCTAACAACATTTGAGTCAATTCTGTCTCCTGAAAAAAGTGCATAAAGATAAAATAAACTAGGCAGCAGCTTGATTCAGTACTTTCAGTACTTCAGCAGAAAGTTGGAAAAATATTAGTACAGTATTGCTGTTCCTCAGTTGCTATAATGTTTTTCTTAACTGGCTTTGGGGGATGTGTTCATGTTCGTATCCAAAGTGTGAATTTCCTTATGTTCATGCTTACATCTTCTGAGTATACATTTGATAAGAATTCACATATATATGTTAAAACTATGTTGAAACCATGGGATCTACGAACTACACATGAACACAGGCCATTTATTGTAGACAAGTAGCTAAAAAGATGCAGCTTTTCACTTACAGTTTTCTTTCTTTTCTTTCATTTGATGGCCACTAGATGTCGATAAATCTGCATAAATGAGTTTCTAGAAACAAAGTATCTAGTAAAACTTATTATGGAGACTTAATGATCTCTATATAGTGATACTGTTCTCCCTTCCCCTCTTTTTTAAATAAATACTTAAAAAGTAATATTTTATTATTTTTAAATAATGAAAACAGTAAATGCTAGTAATATCCCATTGACCTTAATGCTCTTTTCAGTAATCCTCTGGTTTTTTTCATCTGGTCTAGTCTGTTCTGCCCTCTTTTCCTTTTTCACATTTTTCCAGAGAAAGACCTTTGATATCTTCCAATGCCTTTAGGTAGAATTATGTTTGGTATTTGCATAATTATATCATCTTGAGGTTGGAATATTATGGGAAATCAAAACTTGGAGTGGGATGAAGGGAGGACACTTCAAAAAAAACTTTGCTGAAATATGGCTTTGTGGAATTGTGTCCATTGTGTTTGGTTTTAAATGTCAACTTATTTAAAACACCCAGTTGTGCTTTTTTCTCCCTTAGGCTATGAATCGCTCTCTTGCTAATGTGATTCTTGGAGGATATGGTACTACTTCAACAGCTGGTGGGAAGCCAATGGAAATTACTGGCACTCATACAGAAGTGAATATGGACAGTGCGGTTGATATGATAAAGGATGCCAATAACATCATAATCACTCCAGGTGAAATTGGGCTGCCCGTATTCTGTAACTGTTGAATGTAAACTGAGAATTTCCAAGCATACAAATTGAATCTAGAGGCCAGGGAGAGGCTTTCATCAGACTAACTTTATGCCCGCAGTTTGCCTCTGTTAAAAATAACTACATTCTTGTGAGTTTTAAGCAGTTGTTACTTTCTCCTTAGAATTCCCAGTAGCATTCATTTCATAACTGGGCATGTAAAAATAAATTCATAGAGATTATATCTAGAGACAGTTTAGTCTAACACTGTGTTTCTGAACCTTGGCAACTGTAAGATGCGAGGACTTCAACTCCCAGAATTCCCCAGCCAGCCAACTCCCAGAATTTCTGTTAGACCAGTGTTTCTCAACCTTGACAACTGTAAGATGCGAGGACTTCAACTCCCAGAATTCTGGGAGTTGAAGTCCTCGCATCTTACAGTTGTCAAGGTTGAGAAACACTGGTCTAACAGATAATAAAATCCCTTTCTATATAGCTTATACCAGTGCTTCCCAAACTACTTCCTTCATTACCCAAAACTGCTTGTCAGAAAGTCCTTTTTACTTAAGTCAGTTTAAATGTCTAAATAACTCAAGGCGGTGAACATACTTAATATGCCTTCCTCCTCCTATTTTCCCCACAACAACAACTCTGTGAGGTGAGTTGGGCTGAGTGAGTGACTGGCCCAAAGTCACCCAGCCAGCTTTCATGCCTCAAGAATTCTCTTTTTCCCCCAAATGAAAACAAATACAAATGTTTGGGTTTCTCAGAGCTTTTTTTTGTTTTTGTTTTTGCTTTCTAAAAGAAAAGATTAAGTGCATCCATTTTTATAGATAGAGTACGACCAAATTAAACTTGAATACAGTATGGTAGAAGATAGAGTTGTGGAAATAATATTATTATTATTTAAACTTGTATGTTGCCTGACTCCTAGTGTGCAGTATAAACAGATGCTTGGAGTCATGTAACGAAAAATCCTGTATCTTGCCTTTCTCCCACCTTAGTTTTGACACTGCTTCTGCACATTGCATTCTATGGTACAAAAACCACAGGTCCTAGCAACAATTGATTGTGTGTTTATAGAACTCTTTCCTGAAAATGTACCTTACTGTGTGCTAGGTTGACTGAATCTGTGCAAACCTTATATGATATTTTATTTACTTATCCAGTTTATATCCTAGGAGTAAACAAGCATATCTAGCACCCATCCTCCAGTTTTTTTCCCAAAATAACCCCATGGGATAAGTTGGTTGAATGAGAGTGGCCTCAAAATCACCCACTGAGTTTCCATGGGTGAAGGTAGGCTTAAACCTGGTTCTCCACAGACTTAACCAGTACACCATGGGAAAATTAGCCACTTAAGATTACTTTATTTATACAATGTTTAGGCTCCCACTGACTCTGAGTGGCTTACAATTAAATATAAAAAATGACAAAACAGAAAAAGGAATCGTGAACATCTCCTAAAGCAACATATAACCAAAAAAAGCCATCCAGCAGGGTTTAACCTTCACTCTGCCCCAGAACCTGGGAGAATAGCCAGGGTTTTAATAGGTTCCTGAAAGTCATCAGGGTGGGAGCCATCTGGATCCCTGGGGGGACATCATTTCAAAAGCGAGGTACTGCAACAGAGAAGGCATGCTTCCTGGGGTCTACAAGATGACGCTGTTGAATTGATGGGATCTGGACTATGCTGTATTGCAACAGAAAACAAAGACACATTAGGGTACCCACCAGGGGGTGCTTAATTAAGAATATGCACCAACCGTTTGTTACATATAGTACCTTTGTAATCAGAACGTGAAAGACAGTTGTGGGTCTGAATCCTGGGAGACCTCAGAGCTTTATTCAAAGGCATCATTTATCTTGGATCTTTTCCCCATTTTTGCAGGTTATGGCCTGTGTGCAGCAAAGGCCCAGTACCCGATTGCTGATTTAGTGAAGATGCTGAGGGAACAAGGCAAGAAAGTCAGGTCAGTGGATATATGGACAGTGGTTTCATAATGCTGTTGTCAATTTTTAGAATTCAGTGTTTTGACAAAACTTCTCTTTTTCTTGTTTTTGTTTTCTGATAAATATAAAATATATAATCTACCTGGAGAGCTTTTTCTAATGCCGGCATCTCTTAAACACTTATATCTCTCAGGACGGCTTGTTTACTTCCTGTGAAAAGTAAGGCAAGGCTTCTCAGAAGCCGGTAAAGGCCATTTTCTTCAATTATATTTTTTATGTATTTGCTATATTTACCTCCTCTTTTACAATAAAATGTTCAAGGTAGCATGTGGCCAAAAATTCTAATAGAGTCCCTCATACTCTTCTAACTAAGCTAAGAACACAAAACTGAATTAAAAGCATATCATTTTCCATTACTCCCTTCCATCTTCTTTGTCTTCCTTGTGTTGAATTAAGGATTGGAAACCCCACGGAGCAGGAAGCAGGATTTTTTTATAATGCACACTGATGCTCCATAAATTAATAAGGTAATACATTTGAGAGAGGCAATTGAACTGTTGACAGCTAGGCATTGGTTTATTTTGAACTGCTCTTTATTATGCTTTGTTTTACTATTTTTCATAGTTCAAGTGAATTTCAAACTGTATATTAGTGTTTTTTTTAAATGACAGCGGCATAAAATGGTATTTGAATAGATAAGTTGTTGAACTGTGCTAATGAACTAATGGCACATGGAAGTGTCATGGCATACTTAGTTTTGGTTTGTTATGTGGGAAGCTGGCTGTTGCAGTTTGTAAATCATGGCCCATGCCTTGATCTTTAACCCTTGCTAATTGATCAAGCCATAATCATGACTGTGGTGTGATCTGTGAACTTAGTCATTCTACATAGCTCATTACTGTTCTTCATTGATTTTTGGAAGTCTCAGGCAGAATCTCAAATTGGAAGCCATAGGACTTGATCCTGGGAGGTTTCTACACGTAATCAATGAACTCTAGTGCATGATGCTCCTTTGAAATGGCAACTTCACTTGGCCTATATCAAGCGTCGTGTCCTTCTGAAGGCCAGAAATGGAATTTCTGGGCTGAATTCAGTCTGTGAAAAGATCTGCTGTGAGTCCTATTCTGTTCTGCTGCCATTCCTTCACCGTCCTTGCCTGAAAACGAATAGCAGCACTGGGCTCTAACTAACAATGCTGTTTTGTGATCAGTGTTGTGCTTCATTCAAAGTAGAGCAAGAGGCAAAGAAGCCTCTTGTACTTCACACTTCCTTCACCCACTTTAAAGCTGGGATTGGGTCTTCTGTACTACTTTTCTCCAATGTGGTGCTCTCCAACTCTTTGGGAGTTTAACTGCCATACCTCCCACTCAGCACATCTGGAGAACACCAGGTTGAGGGAAGTTTATTATGTATGCCATTAGAATGGGGGCATCTAAGGACATATTTCTCCCTTTCATGTGAACAGGAATACTGACTTGAAATGCCAGTTCTGTTCATACTCCCCATTTAACACTTTGAATCATGGAACTGGTCTTAGGTCTTTCAACACTCAAATTAAGTTTTCTACTACTGAAAATATGAATGCTCCTATTGTGTGAGCAATTCAGGGATAATTCTAGCAGTTAAATCCTAGTGTGAACATACTTGTGGTTTGATCTGAGAAACCATCACTTTGCTTGTTATAGCAGGAATTAACCCACCAGCTAAACAGAGTTTGACTGCCCTTTTCCTTGTCCCTCCCTTAATCTTTTTTTTTTTTTTTTGGCTCCTGTGTGGGCCAGTTTTTCACTTTGATTTTATTTTTACTCAGTGACAGCATAAAAGCCTTGGCTTTTGTGTATCAGAGCTTTGTACAGGAGAAAGGAGAACGGAACTTTTTGATGTAACTGCATTAGATCTTAAAGCCCGTTTTGGCAAGCGTTCGCCACAACCATTACCTAGAGGGCTTTAATGAAAGAAATCTGTATTTTCTGTTTGTGGTAAGTTGGGTCTTTCATCATGGTGTTTATTGAGTGCAGCTGTTCACCCTCTGCTTCCTGTAGGCCCATGGAGCCTCAGGTCTCTGGCCCACTCTGCATCCAGATGTAATGACATATTTACACATCTGTGACAGATAAAATGCCAGTATGGATACACAGTTGTCATCAGTTCATAATACCTGTGTGATGGTAAGAAAGATAGCATCTGTCACACTGCCTGACAGGTCACCTGATGTCTGTGGTGGCGAGACACTGCTTTTTTGGCAAATCTTATCCAAAGCCATAACGTGTTCTGAAAGGATCACAGTTGTGTTGCGTTAGTACTCTTGTCAGAGTTTTCTGATTCAGAAAGATGTCAGGGTAGAGGTAAAGCCTGCCTGAATTTATTAAAATATTTCTTAGCCCCACCAAAGTTCTCCTTCATAGCAGATTGCATCTTTGGTGTGTTAATAAACTCAGTCAAGAAAATAATGCCTTACATACTTTTCCTTTCACCTCTGTCCCTTCCTCTCAGTTTCCACTATCTTACCTCATATTATAATAGATGTTTTGTAAATGGATGCAGTATGTTCCTCTAAGAAATATTATTTTTCATTGAAGTCTCACAGCTAAGTAACTTTCAGGTGAATGTGGAAGCTACTGTAGTTGAAAGCTAACAGAGAGATAGGAAAGCTCTGTACAGTATATGCTCTAAGTGATATTTATTTTCATTAGTAGGTATTTTAATTGAAAAATAACAAATAACCAAGACGGAATCTTTGCAACAGTGGTGTACTGTTCCAGACTGAGCACACATACGCCAGCTTGATTTGAACTGGCTTACTGACAAGTAGCAAGCAGTCAGACATAAAGGCCAGCTGTGTAAAGGTCTTGCCTGAGTTACTCCAAAGTCAAACTTGAGCATGGGCTAAGAGGCATAGTCCACAACAGTCCAGGGGTCAAAACACCAAGAAGGTTAGCCAGCCAATCTGAGTTCAAGGAGCAGGATTCTGGAGACAGAGCAAGAAGCAAGGACACAGGAACAGATGCAGATGTGGTTCAATGACAGGTGTTCATGCCTTTGCTCTCAATATGTCCTAGGGCTGGGTGCTCTGCTGGGAGTACCTGCTTCCTCCTGCACCTGCTCTTTGCTTACTGAGTGAGCCTCAGGTGGTTGATTGCTTACAAACTTCTGAAGCCAACAACCTGCTGCATGAAGCCCCTCAGCCACTGACTCTTCCAAGTCAGAGGAGACCATTATAACTGCAGCATAAATTTGGGTGGATAGCTTTAAAAATATGGGAGAATCACATTTTCTCAGGCCAGATTTCTTGGGGTCACATACAGATACAGGAGGCTGCAGTCACTGGTTGCCAGAGCTGAAGCTAAAAGTGGGTTTGGACCAGAACTGCAGTGAACTTCCATGCTATACTCTTTTTACCTTTCTCTTTCCTGCCAAAATTAATTATTCTGCCATTTAGCAGTTAGGCTTAAAAAATATTCCCATCCGTAGCAATGTGATTTTATCCCCTAAAATTAAATGGCACATGAAAACAATTTTTGCAATGCAGTGGAAGGGAAGAAGAGTTAATTTTCTATTCCAAGCTGCCACCCCCAGAAAATAGTGTCCACTATACTGAATGTGATGCTATCTCTCTGCATGTATGGAAACAGGAGCCTCCCCCCCCCCCCCAAACCAATCTGATTGGGATGGGAGGAGAGTGAAAAAGAACCTGAGATCCGGGCCTAAATGTGCTATGATCTACCAGTGTCTCATCATAAATACCAACTGACAGGGAAGCAAGTCCCACTGTAATCACCCTAGTTTAACAAGGAAAAAAAGAGATTTTGAGTTGAACAATTAGTAAAATGGGAATTCCCTGTTTGTAAATGTGGGTTTCTTCAGAGCTTGTTGGAAGCAAGTAGAAAAGATTAAACTATCCTTCCATGTCTTTCTGTGATGGAATGGAATTATGAAGGGGGAAGATTGATGTCAGGCCTAGCCCAAGGAACTCCAAGAGACAATGCCAATTCAGTCCAG